TTTTTGACCCCAAGCAATACGTGCAGGGCGGCATTCTCACTCTCTACCACCTTCAACTGAACAAGCGCTTCCGCCAGCTCGCCCTCCAGCACATCCACCTCCAACGCAGCAGCCGCATCTCTTGCTGCCACAAGCTCTTCCAGCGCACGACAGCGACTCTCCACACACCCCAACGACCTGCTGGTATCAGTCTGCAACCCCTCCAGATAAACATCCCTCTCTAAGAGTTCCTTGGCTAGCTTCTCATTTTCAGCCTCCCTCTCTGCGAGGTCCTCAGCCAGCTTCTCATTTTCAGCCTCCCTCTCTGCTAGGTCCTCAGCCAGCTTCTCATTTTCAGCCTCCCTCTCTGCTAGGTCCTCAGCCAGCTTCTCATTTTCAGCCTCCCTCTCTGCGAGGTCCTCGGCCAGCTTCTCATTTTCAGCCGCCTTCTGCGCAAGGTTCTGTTCTAGTTCGTATTTTGATTCTCTTGTCTCAGTAAACTCCTCAAGGGTAACGCTATAAACGGGCTCATAGCGAAGTACCTCGGGTTCTATTGGCACATCGTTGCGGGGTGGCGGCAGCTGTGGCGGCCCACCATGACAAAGGCCGGGGTGTGACAGTCGCGCATTAATGCGGGCAGCGCGCATCTCTCGGTGCGCAGCCAGCTCTGCCTGCATGGCGGCATGAACTTCGTCGTAGTCAGCGCGCAGCTGCTCCACACGCCTTTGATTTTCCTCCCCCATGGCACGTAATGCTCCTTGCGTCGTGCTCATCAGCTTCTCCTGCTTGCCGCGCTCCTCCCGCACTTCAGCTTCTGCCGCGGCTAAACGGGACTCCAGCTCCCTCACGTTCCCCAATGCTGCCTCGTTTACTTCCGCCATCTCGGCATTTTTGACCCCAAGCAATACGTGCAGGGCGGCATTCTCACTCTCTACCACCTTCAACTGAACAAGCGCTTCCGCCAGCTCGCCCTCCAGCACATCCACCTCCAACGCAGCAGCCGCATCTCTTGCTGCCACAAGCTCTTCCAGCGCACGACAGCGACTCTCCACACACCCCAACGACCTGCTGGTATCAGTCTGCAACCCCTCCAGATAAACATCCCTCTCTAAGAGTTCCTTGGCTAGCTTCTCATTTTCAGCCTCCCTCTCTGCGAGGTCCTCAGCCAGCTTCTCATTTTCAGCCTCCTTCTGCGCGAGGTCCTCAGCCAGCTTCTCATTTTCAGCCTCCCTATCTGCGAGGTCCTCAGTCAGCTTCTCATTTTCGGCCGCCTT